CCCCCCCCCATCGCCCGCCTCCGGGCATCAGCAGCGACCCGTCCCACGGGTGACAGCTGCGGGGGGGCCCCCACGCTGCTCCGTACCTCCGTGGTTCCCGCTGTCCTGTCCCCCGGGTGGCAACACCTCGGTTCCCATCACCCCTCACCCCACGGTGGCATCACCCCGGGTCTCCACTGTCCTGTTCCCCGGGTGGCACCGCCCTGGGTCCCCACTGTCCTGCACCCCACGGTGGCATCACCCCGGCTCCCAACTGTCTTGTTCCCCAGGTGGCACCACCCTGGGTCCCCGCTGTCCTGCACCCCACGGTGGCATCACCCTGTGTCCCCACTGTCCTGCCCCTTGGGGACATGGCCCTGAGGCTCCTCATCATCCCCCAAAAAACAACATCATGTCACCTGGGTTGCCCCATGCCTGAAGATCACGACACCCTGTGTCACCCCGCTGTCCCCCACCCTGGCTCCCTGCCATCTCAGGGCCTGGGGGGGGGGAGTGAGCATCCCCCCCACCCCCTGCATCTCCTTTTGCCACCGTGACCCAGGGGCCACACTGCGCATGTGGTGCACCCGTGGTGGCTCGTCACTCTGCCCCCCACTTGCTTTTTGGGGGACACCCCCACACCTGGGGACAACTCTCTGCCCCATGAGCCATCCCATGGGGGGGTTCTGGGGTGCTGACACTCCGTCCGCGGGCACCAGCAAAACTCAGACCCTTATTTAAGCCTCGGCAGCATCATTAGCAGCTGGAGCCATGAGCCACCCACCTCCCATCAGTGCCAGCAGGCACAGGGTTGTGGCTTGTGGCTTCTCTGGTGGCTAATAAGGGGTTCAGCTCATGCTGCAATCTGCTCTCTCACAGGCTTATTTTGCTGTGCTTTTTTTGATGAAAATGTGAGGGATGTAATAACTTTGAAGGCTTCTCTTTTTTAAGGCGACTCTCAACTTGGGTCACAATATTTCTGGGCGAGGAGAGAGGGAAACACAAAAGCCTCGCAGCACGGACACGCAGCGGGTTGCATAAATCTTGCTTTGACAGAAAAACGGGTTTAAAACCCCCTGAGATCCTGCAGTGGGCTAGTTTGCCACGCAGTCCCGCTGGCTGCGACGAGGACACCCGCGACACCACACGTGAGCTAAAAACATCATAAAATATTTCTCCTGCTGCAATAGCTGGGGCAGCCCGGGGACACCCGCTCGGCGTGTCACTGCTGGCTGCCCCCGTGCCAGCGTCGGGGACCTGGGACGTGGCAGAGCCAAGCAGGTCCCTCGGCATCAAGCAAAGGGCCAGGGCGATGTCCTTGCCAGGCCAGAGGGGAGGAAGGGTGACTTTCAAGGGAAGGGGGCCTTGGCGAGAGGCTTTGCTGGACAGATGTTAGCAGCCACCTCTTTGTGCCGGGGGAGGGCTTTTTGTTTTGGTTTTTAACATTTGCCATTTTTCTCCGGCGCTTTCTTCTGCTCTGACACTTGCTGAAGGTTTTTCTTTCTTTTCTTTCTCTCTCTCTTTCCGCATTTGCTTTTTCAGCCCCGGTTCAAACACTTTTTCACCGCGTATTATGCTGAAGTTGAAACCATCTGGTGCTTTGTTTTGTTGTGAACCCGGCGAGTGCCAGGACCTTTATCCCCCTCACCCTCCTCCTCACCAGTGCCTCCCTAATCCAAGTGACAACCCCGAAAAATCTCCCCCCCCGTCACCCAACAAAGCGACTGGGCGCGTGTTCGCATGCCTGCAGCCGGCTGGGCGATGGGGACAGCCAGCACACCCGGTGTCCCCGTGTCCCCAGCCAGCCCACGGGGATGCGCACACCCCCGGCTTGGCCGTGCCGGGCTGTATCACCGCCCTGTAAATTCCTGACTCTTTTTTAGGTCCGGCTGTTAGGAAAGGCATCCTGATTTTATTTTTTCCCCTCTTTTCCCACAGGAGGAAAGCATGTTTCTGGGAGCCACAGAGCCCTGCCAGACACGCACCCCGACAGCCTATTTTTGGAGCCCCTCAGCAGGCAGCTGCGTTTGGGGATGGCATTTGCAGCGAGCGCAGCGGAAGGAAACCTCTGCTCGCCCGTGCTGTCACGTGTGACACACACCAAAAAAAAAGAGGGGTATATGTTGGAAAATCCAGGACTGCTGGACACAAGCTGCCTCCAATGGCTCGGTCGGACCCAGCGCCACGGCTGGACTCGGGGGCTTGGCACAAAAACGGGGTCAGTGGCCGTGGGCGCCTGCGCAGGCGGTGGGTGACCCCTCTGCGAGGCCGTGGGTTGCTGGTTGTTGCAGAAACACCCTCCCGGCACGGCTCCGCTGCCCCGTCACGCTTTCCTTCCCCATTTCTCCTGCACAATGGGGTGCTTTGTTCTGTCGGGGTGAGGAAAGGTCCGGCCGCAGCCCGGGGAGCTGAGGGGGGGAGCTGGGAGCCACTTCTGCCTGCCCGGGGTCTCCTCCTGCTGTGCTGTGCTGGGTGAGACACCCTTCACCCCCACCTCCCACCAGGCCAGGGGGAAGCAGGGCCATAAACCAGCAAAAAAAAAATCAGTTAAAAAAAGCTATGAAACCATCATCAAAAAATAAACAAAGGGGGCATTTAGGAAAAGACGCCATAGCAAAAAAAAAAAAAAAAAAAAAAAAAAAAAAAAAAAAAA